TTAAAATTTATCCAAGTCAAATAACAAAGTATGAAAGTTTGACACCTAGGATTCCGAAGCATGCGAGTCTGTCATCTAGGCTCAGCACATTCGGGAATTATATATAGGGGGATATGGATATTTATTTACAATAAGTTATAAACTATTTAACGATATAGTTATAAACTACTAGTTTTTAACCCGTGCATTTGAACGGAAAGCATTATAATAGAACAAAAAATAATAAAAAGATATAAACAATAGTAAAAATTATAATATTATCATTGGAAAAATGTTCTAAATAAAATAACTAAATATTGTTAAACAATTCTTTATATATAACGTTTGTGGTTTTTCTATCAACAAAATCTCCATCACTACAAATCACTATCTTCAAATTAAGACATATAATAATTTTATTTTTTAAATAATTATTGTATTAATATCATATAGGAAATTTAAAAATAAAAATATTATAAAAATACCAACAAAATATTACAAAATAAATAATTGTATTTGGTTTATAAATAAAGATATGTGCCAAATATTTAAGACATTTGAACAAAATGGCAATTGTTGGGCCATAAAGAAATATATTGATTGAATGATGTAAAACATGTCAATGATAACATGACTATAAATAGAGATAAACTCCTTGAGTGATGTAAGCCAATTTTTTTGTTTGATGTCGGTGCTTCTTTCGTTATTCACTCTGTCTGAAACCCTAATCCTTAACCCGATCTTACGACAAACTCGGCGAGATTCAATACAAAATAAATGTTTTACCGGAGATTTTCTCCCAGTAAAGGCTTAAAAAAATCGAGAAATATTGTTTTTGTAGCCAACAGTAGTGATCGAAAAATAAATATTCGTCCCGATTTCTTAATCTGTGTTGCTAAATATTAACAGGTCGGTCAAAATTGGGCGATAATATTACAAATCTATGAAGAGATGAATTCTTTTTGTTAAACATAGTTTTTATTTTTATTATTTTCAATGATCTGTGTCGTTTTTCGAAATTCTTTTTGAATAAGCTTCAAAGATATATCATATTTTATACATAATTCGAAATTATCTAGATGTTTTCGATATTGTTTTTCGAAGAGAACATGACATTGGTCGAACATTTTTAAACTTTTATGTATTTTGTTCAGGGTTTGAAAAATAGGTAAGTTTCTAACAGATCTGTTTAGCTCTACTAACAAATGTATAGGTAAGTTTATAACATATCTGTTCATATATGTTTATAACATACATATGTAACTTTTATGTATTTTGTTCAGATTTTGAACACTAAATAGTTCAATTCTTTCTCATATTTCTCATCATATCAGTAAGTGAAGCTTTGCTAACACTTGTTCAAAATCGCTTTTCGAAGTTGTTCAAAGTCTTTTGCCGAAGTTTTTCAAAGTTTTTAGTATTTTGTTCAAAATTTGGAAATATTAGGTAAGTTTATAACAAATCTGTTTACATATATTTATCGCATATTAGGAATTTCTTGTTTAATGTTTAAAAGAATATGTAGGAATTTTTATTTTTAAAACTTTTACGTAAAAATATAAAGGCAGATGTCTTAGTAAAAGTTAAATGTGTTGATAATGATAGGGAAATCAAATTATTTTTGTTTTCTATATTGTATAGTGTCCAATAATGTTCCACATAATTTGTTGTGTTTTTAATTTTGATTTTTTTCATAGATTTGACCTTTTTTGTTGATTATTAATTATGTTTGATATTCTATATTATACAACAATCTGCCATTACATACAATGTCTTGTCAATTCTCATTCTTTGACTTTGCCAATTTCCGTTTAATATGACCTTTCTGTTGCTGAAAGTATGGTTTTAATGCCTTAAAATATTGATGTTTTGGATATGTTTTGATGCTATAATCATGCAGAAATTTGCCCTGCCACTTGTTTAATGAAAATTAATCATATTTATATTTATAATTGTGAAATATTTTTTTTTTCACGGCCAACAGTTTTTTTTAATGAAAAATATGAGACATTTTATTCAGCACACTTTTTAATTAATAAAACAGAATGTTGATTGCGATAATCAAATCTGTAGAAATCATGCATTTTATTGAATAGTAGTAATATAAACTATTTTATTATTACTACCAAATGGAAAGTCAAAGATAGTTAATTTTTCACTATTCCTTATGATCATATGAATTTTTTTTTATACATATGTTTTTTCAATAAACTTTTTAAATAGTAATATTGACAATATAGACTTTGCTATAATATTTATATAGACTGTTAATTTTTTTATTTACTTCATTAACTTTTTTTTATTAATTCATCTTATTATGCGTATAGTCTAACTTTATAAATTATATGTCATTTAAATGTATCTATGCTACTAATTTATAAGGTTTTACCATTTGGGGGAGCTAAATTTTTATTTTAATTATGAAACTAATCTTTCTTATTATTTTGCAGCTATATGTTTGATGGAGTATGGCTGGAAATTAAATTACAAAAAAAAATAATAATAATAATTTTATTTTTTATATTGTAATGTAGCATGATCTGTATTATAATGTTTGTACTTATTATATTTATTAATATTTTTTATAACTTTAGTTACTTATTCAATTCATAATGGAATAAAAAAATAATAATATATAGTTTCTGCACAACTATAATGATTGCCACGTTTATATATATAGATGAGAATATGAAACATAAATGTGGGATTAACTAAAAAAAATCTTTTTAATATAGCCATTAACTAATTAGGTTTAACTAAAAAAATTTTCTTAAATGTGGGATTAATGAGTCATTAATTAAAAAAATGTAACTCCTTTTGGAGGGAAAGTGAAAATATTTTTATTAAATGTTTTATTAAATAGGATTAGCTAGTAATTATATATATATATATATATATATATATAGATTTACTTAATTATGAATCACATTTCAAATCATTAGTAAAAATTTAACGATATAGTTATAAACCATTCACTTACATATGAATCACTAAAGATGACATAAATGTAATGAATAATTTTTACATATTTAAGGGATCGCGACAAATTAGTTAGCAGAAAAAAAAAATATTAAGTTTATTATTATTATTATTATTATTATTATTATTATTATTATTATTATTATTATTATTATTATTATTATTATTATTATCATTGAAATTGTTTATGCAATTTTAAGATGATGCTATGACATTAAGACCAATTAGCTATTAAAATCCTCTTAATGAGATATAAAAATAAATACTAATATTAATTTTGAAATAATTAGCTTTAATAAAAAAAATTATAACTTTTTTATAGGTATGACTTCGATAAAATTTTATAATGAATTTATAGTAAATAAATATTAACAGTAGTCATTTCATGATAAATAAGTTAAAAATATTATAAAACTAATTAATGCAAATGTAACTTTCAGTTTCAATAATTAAATGAAATAAAGAGCTAAAAATGAGATTAATTATTATTTGCCTACAATACATATATATAAATATTGATTAACTTCATCATAAAAAGACCCACTTTTTTTTCTTCTAAAATGGGAAGTACCTTGCATATAAAACTTCAAATCCCTCTTATATATATCCCTCCTATATATAATTTTTGAATGCGCTGAACTTACGTTGCTGTTTCTGGTGCTTTGGAATCCTACTTGGCGAAGAATCATGCTTCGTAATTAGGTTTGGACAAATAATATTGATATATTAATAATTAATAATCTGGGTTCGGACATTCCATAAATATTATGTAGTTAACTTAGTTATTTTAATATCACTTGTACTAATATAACCTTTTAATTTTTTGTAATTTTACATAGTGAGGCACTAAGTGACTAGTATACTTTTTGATTTGTTTCCTTCAATTAACTATTGAATTATAAATATATTTTAAAAGTTGATAACTTTTGTATTTCTTATCGGTTTTACATATATAATATATCAAATTAATCATCTTTTCATGATCTTCGATTGACATCCATATTGTATATATAAAATAAATAAATATATTTATCTTTATAATAATAAAAAATAATAATATTTATTAAAATTTATTAGAAAATTAAAATTATTTCTCAGTTGATATTTATTTTTAATGTAGTTATATGTTGTAAGTTAAAAAAATTATTATAATATAACACAAATAAGTCACACAAATAAAAAAATGTCATACTAAATATATAATAATATATATATTTAATAAAAGTTATTTAAATTTTCAATTACTTTTTCATTAATTTTAGATTTTAAGGAAAAAATTAGCAATAACTATAAAATCTTCAGCCTCCAACATAATGAGGACACTAGACATTGGCATAACGTATTTATGAGTGACAACTCATATGGAACGGAATTGAGGTAGCGGCGTGGGCCCCAAATGAGTGACTTTGCCGCCAATGAGCACATGCCCCTAAAGAGCGACTTCTTCCTAATTGGTTTAGAAGGGTGGCGCCCATACTTCTTACAATTCAATCAAAATTATTTTAACTAATACGAATCTCATGTCAGATAAGAAATATTCATTAATATTTACAAATTAAAAATATTTATTAAACCTGGGCAGCATGGGGACGAAAAAAGGAAAAAGAGGGATGTGGTTACTCTCGTTGTTGGCATAGTGGGCCCTTGGTGGGGGGCTTGCATGACGGGCTATTAGCTCGGCGGTAGAGTGCACCCTTGATAATTGCGTCGTTGTGCCTGGGGTTTGAGAGCTCTCAACGACATGGATAGTTCAATGTGCTCATCAGCGCCTGACCCTTAGATGTCGATCATCCAAGGTGCACTAGCATGGCGTAATCTTTCTATTTGAACCGGGGTTTGAAACCAAACCTCTCCTCGGGAGGATAGATGGAGCGATTCGGGTGAGATCCAATGTAGATCCAACTTTTGATTCACTCGTGGGATCCAGGCGGTCCAGGGAACACCATGGCTTCTCTCTTCTCGAGTATCCATACATCCCTTATTAGTGTATGGACAGCCATGTCTCGAGCACAGGTTTAGGTTCGGCATCAATGGGAAAAAAAATGGAGCACCTAACAATGCATCTTCACAGACCAAGAACTACGAGATCACCCCCATCATTCTGGGGTGACGGAGGGATCGTACCATTCGAGCCGCTTTTTTTTCATGCTTTTCCTGGAGGTCTGGAGAAAGCTGCAATCAATAGGATTTCCCTAATCCTCCCTTCTCGAAAGGAAGAGCGTGAAATTATTTTTCCTTTATGCGGGGACCAGGAGATTGGATCTGGCCGTAAGAAGAATGCTTGGTTTACTTTTGGACATGCTTTGTTTGCTTTGCTCTTCTTCTTCGGACACATTTGACATGCTGCTAGAACCTTGTTTAGAGATGATTTTGTTGGTATTGACCCAGATTTGGATGATCAAGTAGAGTTTGGAGCATTCCAAAAACATGGGGATCCAACTACAAGAAGATAGTCAGTCTGATACAAGACTGTCACTTTTGTCTCTTTCGCCTTTCTTTTTGAGTGGAGGGAATTTTCCATACAATAGAGTATTGGAGTGAACTTGAATCATTTTTTATTCTTGCTCTTTCGAAATGATTCTCAAAATGAAAAAACCAGGTTTGGGAAGCTATAATTGTAAACCGCGATCAAATTTATGGAAGCATTGGTTTATACATTGCTTTTAGTTTTGACTCTACGGATAATATAAATGAAATATATGGAATTAATATTTAATACAATATACCTATATTAATTTGGTGAAAACGTTATATGACATTTAAATTGTGCAAAATTGCATAAAATATATCTATTTAGTATTAGTATACAACATCTACGGTGCATGGTATTAATAAAAAATATAGAATTAATATTTAATACAATTTACCTATATTTTTTTTTTTCAAACGACATAAACATACTCATTAAAAAGGCCAAAAAGGCAAATTACACAGACGAGCCCCGAAGCCGGGAAAATGAGAGGTTACACGCAACCAATGTAACCTAGACAGAATACCAACACAAAAATAGAAAGACCCCAACAGGGTAATACCAAAAAACACATAAAAAAAACATCCCAAACAGGGTAATACCCGAGTGTCGGACCCCAACAGGGTAATACCCGAGTGTCGGACCCCAACAGGGTAATACCCGAGTGCCGGACCCCAACAGGGTAATAAAGTGACACTCGGTCGCACAAAGTGACACTCGGGCGCACAGAGGCCAACGACCCAAACCAAAAACACAAACAATAAACCTCAAACCAACACTAACACAGACACCTAAACAAACAAAAGCACTGAAAACAACAAAAAACTAAAGCGAGCCATTCCACAGCGGACAACCGAGCCAAACCAGAGGGAAATTGATTGACCCAAAAGAAGAGATTACAGCCCAAGAAATTACCCCCGAAACTGCCAAGCCGCCTACGAAGGGCGAAATCCGAACTCCAACTCCTCGGGAGGCCGACCCACCCTTCAGCCGGAGAGACACCGACATAAACCCCACACCACCGGACTCCCGATCCAGCTAACACCACTAGCGAAGACCGGGAGAACCAATTGTTGGAATTAACTTTAGGCGAAATACATCGCTTTAATCCAGGAGCTTTCATATTGAATAATTGAGAATCGAGACTGAATAGCGGAAGCGTACCTGAATCCATAGGTGATTGATTTGGGGATTTGGCCTTCTAGGTCTATACGATCTGTACCTTTCAGAGAACCCTTTAGTTTTTATCCGTAACCTCTCTGTCGATGGGATGCAGAAGAGATAATCTGTCGATGTCATATGACCTAGGGACCACAACCCTTTTATGTACATTAAGTTACATTGGGCATCTCTATTTTAGCCCATCATTAAAATAGAAGACCCATTAGTTTCTACACATTAAAGGCCCACACCATATTAATACTTTAAAGCCCAATAACTTTAAACTTAAATTGATCACTTTTATATGGGCTTCTTTATTTGACAACCACAATACAATAATTATTTCACATATTAGCCCAATGTTGGATTAAGGATCCAACACCAATCCCCCCCCCC